TTTCTGTTTAGTAATTAGTCTTCTGTGTATTTAAACCCTGTCCTGTCTCAGTCTTGTGTCGGATCATTTTGTTTGTCTGTCCTGGTTCCTTGTGCTTTGTTCCCCTCGTGCCTGATGATCTACAGTTTTTGTAAGTTTGCTGCCATCAGCCCTCTTTTTGTTGATTATTAAACTTTTTGTTACATTTTGAAACCTTGCCTGTGCCCTGGGTCTGTCCTTGCCAAATCCTCACAACCACAATACCCATTAGTACATGTGATGTATTTGATTTAGAAACCTTACAAACCAACAACTAAATACTAACTTGTGTTCTGCATGCACAGTATTTTGGTTATTTCCTGCAAGTCTAAACGGCCAAAATGTATCAGAACGTTAAACATGGCCAAGTTAGCGACAGTTTCTCACAAATGAGTCATTAGTAAGTTGATCTTTAGTCAGAGTGAACCTGGCTGTGAGATTAATATTTCAAGGTGAAAATAGATTACCTCATTTTGTTTTTGACCATTGATCTGCAGGATTACTCCCTTCCTGGCTACAGGGCACTCTACTGAGAAATGGACCCGGCCTTTTCTCTGTGGGCAACTCTGAATTCAACCACTGGTTTGACGGCTTGTCGCTCCTCCACAGTTTCACCTTCAGCAATGGTCAGACTTTGATATTGTCAGCATGTGGCAGGGATATCACAGTTATGAAAATATATTTAAACAATGTGACTGAGGCTCAGTTTTAAAGTATGATGAAATAAATGTAATGCTGTTTCAGGTGAGGTGACCTACAGAAGCAAATATCTGAAAAGTGACACATATAGGAGAAACATCAAGGCAGACAAGATCGTCGTCTCAGAATTTGGGACCATGATTTACCCAGATCCCTGCAAAAACATCTTCTCCAGGTGAGAGTACATTCAGAACATGCAGAAGTCCATTTCAGTTAAAAAGGGATTAGCAAAAAATCATTGAAAGAATAACCTTTTATCAAAATTGTTTAAGTGGTTCTGTAACAACTGTCCATCTAAAACACAAAGAGCTAAGTTAAAGTTAATTCAAAACATAAAATCTGAATACCTATTTCAGTTTGCACAGACACATATTGAAGGTAGGGATAAATCAACTTTAGTTTCAATAAAGGATTCATCGGAGTAAATTGTTGATGTGTGTGTTGAGCTTCTTCTATCAAGATATATAGGTTTATCTAAAAACTCTTCAAACATTTGTTGCTGATTGTTGTCGATCTATAGGGTGAGTGTTAGACCATTTAAATCTGTTCAGTCCACATATTCGTATTAAAAGCCTGATTTGCATTCATCAGGAACAGTACCCAATGTTTTAGTCCATTCAGTACAGGAATAAAATACATGATCGTTACATACAGTACACCAAAGTTTTGGACACACCTTCTCATTCAAAGAGTTTTCTTCATTTTCATGACTATAAAAATTGTAGATTCACAAATCACAGTAATCAAAGCAAAAGTTGGCTACTTTGAAGAACCTAGAATATAAAACATATTTTCAGTTGTTTCACACTTTTTTGTTAAGTATATAATTCCACGTGTTAATTCATATTTTTGATCCCTACAGTGTGAATCTACAATTTCCATAGTCATGAAAATAAAGAAAACTCTTTGAATGAGAAGGTGTGTCCAAACTTTTGGTCTGTACTGTATACTGATGCATTTTGCTTTCTTCAAAAACCCTTCTGAGACACAGATTTTGTGGGATTCCATCCAAGGGATGTAGATGCTAGTTTATATTTATACAAATGTGTTTTGAGTTGACCTCATCATCTAGAAATTAGAACTAAGCTTTTAAGACATTACAACAGAGCATTAGGGCCAAACAAGATTTCTTTTTAATTACGAGAAAAAAAGTCATAATATTATAACTTTAATCTTGTAACTTTCCAACTTTTTTCTTGTAATAATACGAGATTAAAGTCGTAATATTACGACTGTGCTCATGCGACTTTATTCTCTTAATTATATGACATAATATTGACTTTATTCTTCTAATAAAAATAATAATAAAACTATGATAATAATAAAAAATAATAATCTCTGGCCTCTGTTTCCAATCATCAAGACATTTTGTAAGTCAATAAGAGATTGCATTTACTAAAGAACTGAGTTATTCCAATATTATTTCTTAAAATCTTTTTTTAACAGGGCAATGACACACTTTCGCAACGTCATCTCTGACTTTACAGACAACAACTTGATCAACATAATCCGCTATGGTCAGGACTACTACGCCTCCTCTGAGGTGAACTACATCAACCAGATTGACCCGGATACTTTGGAAACTGTTGGCAGGGTTTGTTCTGCACTGGTTTCCTAAAATCTCAGTTTGTCTGCAAGTAAATCAATATTTAAATGAATGACAAAATGCAACAATTCTCCTAAATCCCAGGCAAACTACAGGAACCACATCGCTCTGAACTTAGCAACAGCCCACCCTCACTATGATAAAGAGGGCAACACCTATAACATGGGTACTGCTATCATTGGTCTTGGGCGGCCAAAATATGTCATCTTCAAAGTCCCAGCAGACGCCTCAGGTATGATGCTTAAAAATAATAATTCTAAGTATATTTTCTGCATGAAACTTTTTATTTTTGTCTTATTAGTATAACTTACATATAAAATGAAAATGGTTTATTTTACATATTTACACACACACACATACAC